TTATTTATGATATATGATTATACGGGTCAGGTTGTGCCACCGAGGTTCATTAATCAATGCACATCTAGCCTGTATTAGCTTACTAGGCAGGGTCAGGCTACCAGATAGTTAGAAATACAAACAATTTAACTGGGTGTAAAAACAACAGTACCCATGTTCGGTCTTTCAAAGTGAGAGTATAAACACTGGAACATGAGGAAATTTGCATGCACTGTACCTATGTGAAGTTCGTTTTTACTGTAAGTATACAATGATCTGTTGTTTTGATATCTAAACTCAAGTTTGACCAAAAAATGACATATAGTGGTATATTGTGGATCTTCACGTATATGACGGAAACAGTGGCGTCAAGATGCAACATTCTTTCCAAGTGATCTCTGGCACTGTACCAATGTGATTTTAATATCCCTGAGGCCAAGTAAACAAAATACCAGTTGATCGTCCCTGCCAGCTTCCTTCTTTGAGGCTGCATCAATTTTTTAAAAAGTTTTTCAGGCCAGGCATAACATTTTTTAAAAGATGTTTCAGAAGTTCAGATGCTTCTAAATAGCTTTACTAATGTTCAATAAGCACTTTAAGAAGGTTTTGTGGTCATCAACTAGTAGACATCTACCCGAAAGTATCAAATAAACAGGGCCTCCTCCTTTTGAAGGCACATATCGTGTAAGCTAAAACTGGCTATTTGAGCCCATTTTTCAATAGAAAATAAAAAATAAAAAGGCCCTCATCCTCCTCTTTTTGATGAAACCCGGACGATCAACTGGCGTTTTATTTTACTCGGCCTAATGGCAAAACATTTTTATTTTTAAATAATATAACAAAAAAATAAATCAAACAAAAAATACAACAAATTTCTCATTACGTTTGACCCACCATCACTGTACATGGCTACATATTTATATTTTGGTATTAACAGAGATATATATGAAAGGATTTTCTCGTTTCTTTCAAAAATCACATGATCTGGTGTAAATCATACTAAATGCAGTTAATACTTCCAAGTTGAACCGAAATCAAATGTGAATGCAAATTTGTGTCATCGTGGCATTCATGCTAAATTTGCAGAAGTTAAACACATTTCAAGCGGGCGAATTTCGCTGGGGATGTTTTGTCAGATTAGTGACGTCAAATTTGCTTTTTTAACCAGTTCGGTATTTTAGTGCGCATGGACATCAAGATTTGACGATTTTTCTTTCGGGATAAACATTTCATAGTATGCGTGCAAAAGCATGGTGGGGTACCAGCAGTTCAAAGAGATTGTCGTGTTCTGAAGTAACATTTTTCCAAAAAAAAACGTTTGGACAGCAAAGTGTTTTTAGGTGTCCTGTGTGTCCAAACTTTAGTGCAAACAAAAGTTTCCATCTCTTTACGACTGCACCAAAAAAAAAAAAAAAACTTGGTTACCACATCCCCCATAGCCTTGTGTGCATTTATCTGTCTTGTTTATCCCGAAAGAAAAATCGTCAAATCTTGTTGTGCACGTGCGCAGTTGGAATACCAAACTGGCTAGAACAAGAAGCCTTAAAATAAAAGAATTTTAGAAACAGATACTTGTCCTAAAAGTAAAATTAAATAACAGTTCATCAATCTGATCTGACATGACTAAAGTGATCATCGATCATCATCATGATCATCTGACAGTCTGTTCCACCTAGCCCCATAAATGTGGCCTATTTACTGGACTGCCTCCGTAAACATAGGCCACACATCCACATGTACAAAAATCGTGTCGACGGAGCCAAATTTTGATTTTCACATTTAGGCTTAGTTTGTAGGGTTTTTTTGCTTTAGAAGCATACTCACCCTCTTTATAGGCTAATCAGAAAGTGCTGCCTTTTTCAGATGTATATTTTTCGTGAAATTTCCAGATTCATTTTTACACGTTTGCGTATCAAAATTTCAACATGAAATTTCACAAAAATTAGACATCTGAAAAAGGCAGCACTTTCTGATTAGCCTGTAAAGAGGGTGAGTATGCTTCTAAAGCAAAAAAAACCTACAAACTAAGCCTAAATGTGAAAATCAAAATTTGGCTCCGTCGACACGATTTTTGTACATGTGGATGTGTGGTATCAGGTCAACTCGGACCCAAACCAAGTCGGACCCATGCCAAGTCGGACCCATGCCAACTTGGACCCACGCCAACTCGGACCCACTACCAACTCGGACCCACTACCAACTCGGACCCACGACCAACTCGGACCCACGACCAAGTCGGACCCACGACCAACTCGGACCCACTACCAACTCGGACCCAAGCACGACCAACTCGGACCCAACAATGACTCAATCATTAGTTTCAGAGATTATATTGATAGGTGATCTTAATAAAGTGAAGATATTGTGTAATTATATTGGGCAGAATGGGGCTTTTAATTTTGTTGTTTTCTTTTATTGCCGCTGTGTGGAGCGCTATTTTATGATGCGTACAGTAAATACTGTTGCTAAACGCTTATCGTTTTGAACGTCATGAAACTAAACGTGCTTAGCTTTTTGAAACCGTGACCTGTGAAGCTAAACCAAGAGGTATTAATAGCGTATAGTATAGGTTAGGCATATCGTATGTCATTTGTACAACTTGATATATACGTGCTTTTTCAAAATCTCGATTTTCTTTTTAATTCACATGCTGGCTTTGAATTTTGTGGGTTTTTTTTACGAATCCGATTAACTTTTTATACTTTTTGATTTAACTTTTTTGTTTAATATGGAACCTTCGTTTTTCTTGCAGTGTATGCAATGGTGTTTATGTGGGTTTTTTTTAATAGAGACTAGAAAAGACTTCGTTTTTATATCTTATTTATTTTATTTATTGACTTATAATGTTTACTAATATTTATTGAGTTAATAATGTTATGTTTGAAAGTGTTTATGTTTTAATGCCATACTTTCCAATTTTATTTTTAATGAAGATCTGTTCTTAATTTGTATACTCGTTACGTTGAAGTTGATTACAAACGAAATAAATTTCTGTTAAATTTAGCAAGATGGTGTGAACGATGTCAATTAATATGTTTTAATGAAAATAAATATTTGGTTAAACTTTTAAAGCGCTATATGTTTTAATGGAAACAAATAAAAATAATCAATAATTAATTACACTTTTAAAGCGCATTTCAAAATAGCATTTCAATGCGCTTTACAACGACAAAAATGTTATACTGCTGCAATACGGGTATGAGATAATTTACCTTACAATTACAATGAAAATTTACACTAAACAGTATCACTGTAATAATAGATGAGAAGTGGACAAACTTTATGAAATGAATGATTGAAAACGATGTCGAATGATTGAAAACGATGGGTCCGAGTTGGTCATGCATGGGTCCGAGTTGGTAGTGGGTCCGAGTTGGTTGTGGGTCCGAGTTGGTAGTGGGTCCGAGTTGGTCGTGGGTCCGAGTTGGTAGTGGGTCCGAGTTGGCATGGGTCCGAGTTGGTAGTGGGTCCGAGTTGGCGTGGGTCCGAGTTGGCTTGGGTCCGAGTTGGTTTGGGTCCGAGTTGGATCGAAACCGGATGTGTGGCCTATGTTTACGGAGGCAGTCCAGTAAATAGGCCACATTTATGGGGCTATGTTCCACCTTGCTCTAGTAATGATTTGATCATTATGATCATGTTGTTCTAAATTCAGTGATCGCAAACACAAACGTGGCGTCTGAAAACTAAAATCTCTTTACTTTTTTGTCAAAAACTATGTGTAAAGCCCGGTTCATACTTCACGCGAAAGCGAAAGCGAAGCGAAATTCGTGACGTCAACAATACGTTAGAAGCGCGTCCACCATTGTTGACGACATGAATTTCGCTTCGCACTTGCTTTCGCGTGAAGTATGAACCGGGCTTAAAGTGTCAAGAATCTACTCACCAACCACCGACCACCGGTACGTTGTGACATGACGATGATTATTATGCACACGCAATGATGTATTTATGCATTGTTTATTTTTTTTTGCTGGCGGTACGCACTAGCACTGTACATTGATTTAGTTAATCCTCGTAGTCTGGGTATCCTGTATTTTGGTTCTGAAAGAACCCGACTATCCACCTATGTTATATAGCGCCATCTTGTGGGGTTTGTGTAAAGTTGAAAAACTTTCAGGTTCTTCCTCTGTTTGTGTCACAAGAAAAAATAAAGAGGGAAATGAATAAAATATCCAAACAACATCCATTTTTTTTCTAAAAAGGGTTAACTATCATTCCAAAGAGTGGATCGAATTATTCAAAAAGTCCTGGACAAACAAGAAATTTAAACTTTAAGTTCTACTTCATTTTCTTCAAAGATGTAGGTATACTCACAACACCTCACGTGAAATGTGGGGACAATTCTCTCATTTGAGTTAGCAACAGCAAAAAACACCTTCGCTGGCACAAGTAGAAGAATGGGGCATGCTGTTCTACAAACAATAGCAGAGGGTAAAAACGTTTCACTGTAGAATTTTTGGACTTTGCGTAGCCGTTCCCGTTCAACATGTTCAATTTGGCCTTCTTTCTAAACTAGCCCCCCCCCCCCCCCCATCGTCATGATCGTTTCTGTTCTGAAAAGTGTTTCAAGTTTTCACAAATTTGTTTACTTGGTATCTACTTGTTCGTGGGTTCCCGTTTGAACGCGTTCCCCTCCCCTCCCCCACCTCAAAATTTTGCATATATCGCACTAGTCCTCTTCATTAACCATAGAAGAATTTAAAGAAGTAACTTTACTAGATGACCGAGATGTCCCTTGAACTATAGGCAAATATTAAAAAAAATTAAACTTCACCTTAAAACCGATAACGGCATAGCCAAGAATAAACTTATGCTAATTTTATTCTGTTCCCCACCACAAAGTTGCAAAACAACAAACTTAAAAATATAGAGGTCACTGATGGCGAATTTCCCCCGCTATTTTTATTTCAGAGAGATGAGGGGGGGGGGGGGGGGGCGTGCACTCGGGATCGTCATCACACCACGTGCAATTACTGGAGGAGTGAAATCAACCGTCACGTGTATCTGTATTGGCTTTCTGCTAATGTCAAGCTCGAACTAACGAACACCAGAATTTCATCGGCACCGTGCCAGAGCGGCAGATTTGACTCAGGATTTTTCAACGTGTTTTAACTCAAATGGACGCATTCTTCAGTAAGTTCGACTTCATGGCAAGAAAGGTATGTGCATCGTGACACAAAAAAGTATCATCCTTATTTATAGTGATCCCTGTTTATGTCGTTTTTATCAATGGTTTAGTAGTCGTACCGCGACGGTTTTCCTCACTTTCATATTGCCCCATTTTACCACTTCGCCCCAATGTTACTTCGCCGCCTGTAAAAGCCAGATGCCACTTGGACAGAATGTAGTATCCGGACTCCACTTTAGCTGGTAATCCTTACTTTTAGGACACCTCTATTTTGTACGAGTTCTGTTCAAAACTGACTTTTGCAGATGACTGTCCAGTACCAAAGTGACTTTGGAAGCTAAAAAAGTCTTTTTTCTTCAGACAAACTCATGTTAGTTATAATTTTGACAGCACTTTCAAAGAAAATGTGACTTTCCAACCTTTTTTTGCAGTTCGCCATCTTGCTTTTTAAATTTCTGTTTGTCATCGTCGTCTTTAACCCCTCATAAATCAAAACCTTGCCCTCTTTCTACAAAATCAAACCTGCTGATATTCAAGAGGTGTCATTGCCAAATGTTCAAATGTGTCAATAAATATTAGAACGTCACTTTTGAGTATCATTTAGTCAGCTGTTTTGGTGAGTCTTTTAACCTTATATAGGAAAGGGGTCCTAAAAGTAAGGATTACCCTTTAGCTGTTGTGTAAAAAATCTATGGAGGGTCAAGAACATTTTCACAGTATTTTCCAACAAAATTTGAAATGTTTCTCAATCTCAGTCTCACTCAAACAGAATAATCATACGAAAAAATAATGCAACCTGACACCACTTCACTTGCGTGATTGTGTATCGTCAGACCCCCTAAAATGACGAGGACATGTTTGACGCACTCGCATTCAATTTGCGTTGGATAACACGCGCGCGTTGCAAGCGTTATCTGCGTCAATTGTGGTGACTCGGGGATACAAAGTCAAGAAAGTTTTCTAAGTATTTCCTAACAAAATTGGAAATGTTTCTCAGACCCAGATTCATGTCTTATCATCATTTTGCAATGAATGACCTTCATTGAGATGATTGCTATATGAAGAAAAAAGTGGCGTCAGGTTGCAACATTTTTACCTAATCATGTGATGTCTTTTCAACATTTTTGCAAATGCAATTACTGACCTTCACTGAGATGATGAAAAATGTGCCGTCAGGATGCAACATTTCTCTTTTTTTTGTTAGCGCAGCACCGTCGATATCAGAATTTTCAATATATATCGGAAATCCAATGTCGTGAATAGTCCCAAATTTCCACGGCTTTCTCTGGAGCCAATTGTTTAAAATGAAATTTTAAAAAAATCTCAGCACTGAGAGTTTGTCAAGAGTGGGCATTTTTTAATAGTTTTACATACGTGTACATTGGGGGAGACCACAAATTCCAGTGAACGCAGAGCACAAAGCGACGCCCCTTGGCATATTGCAATGTTTTTAGTTAGAGGCACAAGTTGCCACCGAATTTTCTTTCATTATTCAGCAAACGTTAAACACAAGTAAAAGCACAAACAGGAGATTTATTTGGACAATTATTGACGCATTTTTGATATTTTTGATAAAATTCCTCAATATCGAAAATGTTGATATTTCCACATGATAAAAAAATTGCTATCAGCAATAAAGATATCTAAATAATATCGAATAATCGAGTAATATGCTTACTTTTTTCTGTTGTACATTAAGTCTATCTTTGGAGAATCAAGCACATTTTCGAACTAGTTTCTAACAAAATTGGAAATGTTTCTCATTCCCAGATTCATGTCTTTTCAACATTTTTGCAATAATACTGACCTTCATTGAGATAATATATGATGAAAAAAAATTGGCATCAGGATATAACATTCTTTCCCAATGCAAAACACGTCACATGATCCTATAGTCCAATAGATAGCAAGCTTACAGCATCACATGGGTTTGTTTATCCAAAATTCTGTCTCACCATGCCCACAATTCATTGCTCACTCGAGATGTCGATTTTGGCTTATTTAATTGCCACTGTTGAGCGTTGTATTTTTTTTGGATGGGACTCAAAAAACAGTATGCCCAATTAAAGTTTTATTTTACTTTTGAAAAAAGTGTGTTTGTGCACAATTGTGAAAAAAAAATGTGTGCAAATGCAAATTTTTGATGCAAATTAGCATAGGCATGGTAGGCTCTTATTTGTGTTTAGTGCTTTGCATTAAGTAGGTAGATCCACTTTTTCCAAGCATTTTTTAAGGACTTTTATATTAAAAAAAATTCTAAAAGGAGAAGGTATGTTCCAAAACGATTATTAATTTCTTTGGAAGCTTACAAAATTGACAGAATAAACATATAAATATAAACATACAGGTACACACAACATGCATCAGACATTTTTTAATGTAATTTTAAAGCTACGAGCTTTACAAACTTTCAGGTTTCATGTTTCAGGTTTATTTCCATACTACATGTATAAGGTAATTAAGTTGAATAATATACATCAGGTAAACATTTTAACGAAACTTTGAAATAATAGTATGGGGAGGCCAGACAAGAAGCCGAAGCTTGTACTAGGTCTGCCCCCTTCACAAAGAATACATGTAGTTATACAATTCATGAATAATCATAGGATATATCAATAATATGTGATTACATTAAATTCACGAGCTCATGCAAAACTGTACACAAAAAGTTACTTGAAGTAAATTTACCATCCTTGGCTTTACATGTGTTGTTAATAATTTTACTTGGCAATAAAGTAATAATTTTGCTCTTAATCACCATTGATATTGGCCGTAGTGAGAAGTAGTTTTTTTATAATACAATTTACATGCTCTAATTGAGGTCATTGGGCAGAGAGATCGAATTTTATTCCAAAGGAATAACTTTAACCTGAGGCCATGTACAAAATGACTGGTCATACTCATAGTGGTATTAATGGGGTAATGGTTTCGCCAGGAATTGGGTTGTCTGTTGTATGTCTCAAGTGTTCTTAGTTTTCAGATCCTATTATTATTATCGTTATTATTGTGCTGTGTCTTCAAATTCATTCACATTTTCCGTGTTTTGTTTTCTGAATCCTCTACAGGTCTGCTGTAGACTCTGTTTTCATCAAGCTGCTTCGTGGATTGCATGAAAAGGTTGGTAATTGTATTGATTCTGTTGAATGTATATGAATTTGATGAATTAATACTACGCATTCAATTATTATTTGTTAAAAACATCTTTGCTTTGCATCATGTTGCTGATTCTTGCTTGTTCTAAACTGCTATTGCCATGCCAAATATGTTTTAATGATGCAAAGCACTTCACCTGCTGGATGATACCCTAAACCCTTAACATAGACAAAGATCAAGTAGTATGATATTGGAGGGTACCAGACTTTACCCCTCCCCAATGATCCCCCGCCCCCTTTATTTACCGAGAATTCGAACTTGTAAGTTTTTCGATAAGAGATTTTTTTTCTTTTGCCAGCTGTTCGTCTACCCGTTTTTTAACATCTTTTTCAAAGTCTGAATCGTTTTTAATTTTTTGAAGCTTTGTGCTGGTCTTTGTTCTAATTTTTTGCTTAAGCTCGTTAAATTTTGCGAGCTCATTCGTAATCAATATAAACTCTTCGTGCGATATATCTCCGTCGTTGGTGGTTTGAGCTTCAATCGTGTTAAGTTTGGAGTCCGCTAATATTTTAATCTGGTCGTGCTTTTTCAGCTTGGCGGATAATCGCTTACACGCGTATCTGAGCATAATGTCTACACCAAAAGTGCCCATAAATGTTCCTTCTAGCACTAATCCAACGGGGGCTGATATAACACCCAACCCAATAGAGCGGGAATACCGACAGCCGCCGCTATAAACCCCAATCCTTCGACTCCTAGCTCTACGTAGTTAATAGTGTCGATCACTCTCTTTATTTTTTTATAAGTGCGCTCTCGGTGGTCTCTCTCTTTCAAGATTAATTAAAGATCGAATCTCTTCAATCTTTTTAAGTCTGTACACTTTTGTTTCTTCGTTACTCTTGAATTGGAGTACATCTCCAGAAATATCGGGGTATAACGCCTTACCATCTACACTCATTTTTTTGATATAAAAAGATTTTTAAAATTAAAATATCTCCAACTCTATCATTATACTCACCCCCTTGTTGTTGATGATCTGTCCCCTTTCACCTATGATTGAAAATGTCAGTTTGTCGATTATACCGTTTTTAAGTTTTTTGAAATCCTCGACTCTATCAGGCTCGGGTTCGCGCATACCCAAGGTCGACCATCGAGGAAATTTTCACTCGTACTTAATTGCGGGCAGCGAATAAACAAAAATTTAAACGGATTAACGTCGTAAGACCCCGTATAAATCACTTTGGGTATCAGTCTTCCTTTGGGTAAATTGAGTAATCGAGCGGCTTCTCTGTTTAAGCGCAATTTAAGATTTACGTCGGTTACCACCAACGTCACCTTTTTAGATTCTCTAAATATTTGAAAACTTACCCCGGGTATAGAATTTAAAATGAAATCGAACCAATCGACGTCGTACCACCCCGGTGGTATGGTGACCGAACCGGCGACTCCGGGTGGTAACGGCGCTAAAATACTCGGGGAAATAAAATCTAAATTATCACCAGACACGATTAGACTTCCCCGTATTGTTACACCAGCTTGTCTAATTTCTCTCGCTCTAGGTTTGGTTATTCTACCTTCGATATATTCTAGCGCTATAATTGTACCTGCCATGATGTGATCCCATCTTTAATATAAGATGTTTGCCAAAAACTTAAGCGTATCGTATTGTGTGTCTGTAGGTTGTCTTATTGGCACTTTATCGACTAAAGGTCTTTGTCTTCTAACAATTTGTTTTTGTTCTTTTTCGAGCGATTCTAAAGCATAATCTAGTCTATCTTCTTCGTACGCTTCTGTAAGATCGTTTATAACTCTATTGAAAGTATTTTTGTCGTTAATAAAATAGTTGTAGGGTAAATCACCTATCAACGATTCGACAAAATCTCTATCTTTTATTATTATTGCGTCGGGGCCTAAATCAAAATGAGATATTGCGCCATCTGTTCTACCACCAGGTCTTTCAGCAGGTCTCCCGTCTATATGCGTAAACCAATCAATCTCCGTGGTGCTGGAAATATTAAAATATCCGGGGTTAAACATCACCCTTTTTTACCGTTTAGATTATCTACAACGTCTTCTTATTTAAACGTCTGCTCATTTTGAAACAAGTGAAACGAATGCATTTATTTTAAAGTCTTTTTATATTAAAACTGAAACTAAAATAATGAGTGATTTTGAGTTGTTAAAAAAGCAGTTATTAGGCCAACAAAAAAAAGCCTCCGGTTTCTGGTATGCGCGCGCGTCGCCGTAGCCATGCGCGTCGGCAAAATGAAAAAGGTTTTTTTTTCAATACAAGATGATGTTTCAAAACCGCCAAACTCACTGGTTTGACTGGAATTCTGCTGCTGCACAATTTTAACGTGTTTTTAGATGGGGTTATGATCGAGAATAAGATTTATGTGGCCTCTCTGGACTCCCATATATTTGCACTAAGTTTAGTTGGGCACCATTTGCAGTCATCAGCCGACATTTGAAGCCAAAAAAAAAAAAAAAAAAACGCGTCGCCGCACCACTTTTGGGGCAAGCTCCATACCAGAAACCAGAGACTTTTTTTTTTTGGCCTTAGGTAGGGCCTATAGCTGATCAGGTAACGAAACAAGTAAATCAAAATGTAGCCAAGGCAAACGAGCTAAAACATCAAGTTGCATCCCAAGCAAAGTTTTTAAACAGCACTAAACCCAGTGAACTGGAGGTCATAGTTAATAATACCAGCTGGTTTTTAACCTTGTTTCCCGACTTAACCTCTGACTATAAATTACCTCACGTTGAGACGGATGAGGATGTAGATCGTTGGAAATCACACCCCATGTCGTTTTATCAAAATCAGTTAAATTTTGTGATCTACTGCGCTACTACGGGGTGCGGTATTGGATTCGATCTTTTAAACGCGAGCAACCGTTACGTTTGGGCCATCTTTAACTTTCATTTATATTTTACGGTTAGAAAGATCCTGCAAGACCATGAAGCTCCTTTACCTGGAGATGACGCATTTAACGCTCTAGACAACAGTTATAATCACAGAGCATTTACCGAAATCTGTTTGTTGTTTGGCATACAATGTAGATCAAAACAAGTTGTTTAAACAGACGAGAGACACAAAATCTAACGGTTTAGGTACCTTGTACATCTTTAATAAGGGCAAGTTTGTGGCGGTTGGCAAATACGATAGAGCATTACCCGACAACCCCAACGTTATTTACGGCGGCTGCCACGGTCTAGATAGTCCTAAAAAGAGTGGAAGCCGTTATGTTCCTTGGACGATTATTTACATCGAACAAAATGAATCGGTACAAAAGGCTTGGTTAGATTTTATACCCGACACGAGTTTGTTTACCCCCGCGGGAATCATAAAGATCAACGAATCGATCAGATCTTACGTGTACGCTTTACTCGGTGCGCAGGTTCAAACAAAAACGAGCGTATTATCACCGGGCACCGGATTAGATGCTCAGAGACAATTTAACGTCATCGTTGAAAACATCATCAATGCAGTAGACGACAAGGAAACGAGTATCGATCAATTTCAAGACTCTTTGCAGTATGCCAGAACGCCTTTAAATTTTGTCGTGAAACCGGGGTTGTATTTAATTCCATTGGATATGAACTTGAGGGTTGGAACGCACAATGGATATAACAACAATCTTCAAATTGCTACCCAGAGTATGAAAACTGGTTTGGTGCCAGATTTAAACTCACAACCTATCGGATGACTCTTTTGATGACACCGATGACGTCGCGCCACCAACACCCCCAGAGCCTATGACGAACGATATTGTATCACCAACACCAACACCAACACCTACACCCTCACCTACACCCTCACCAACACCTACAGTTTTAACCCAAGAGCCCACAAAACTACAAACTCACCTAGACGAAAAATTATCGTCGACGGTTGGAATGTTAGCTATCGTTGAAATGGGTATTTTGGCTTATGAGGCAACGCGTTAAGTCACACTCTAATCACACACACACAAAAAAAGCCTTACCAATTTTGTGCTGGTAAGGCTTTTTGTTGTATTGTTGTTGTTTAAACTTAATTACAACTATGTAACTACCATCGTTTTTGCAGGTACGCAAACACCAAGGCTCCCACACCCAAAAATAAAGCCCACACGTGTTCGGCCAACCACGATACAGACTTACTCAGCGCGTTAAATATCGAACTTAGTACGCTGCCTATGATACCTGGCAGAGCACCCAACGCGCTCACTCCGAGTTTTTGAAGAGCAGATGCAAAATGAGCGAGTTGTTTTGAAATCCAGTCTTTGATACCGCCTTTTGGTGGTGTTGGTGTCGGCGATGGCGCGGTTGGGGCACCCGCACCTCTCACGCCAGCGACGATGCTACTCACTATCGTGCTGATGGCTAAACTCAAAGCGGCTAAAATACTCAGAGTTCTAATCTTTTCCGCCAGAGTCGTGTCGCCGTCCAATATTTTATTAATCGTTTCTTTGATTCTAGCGATCTGACTTTTGAGCCCTCGTCCGTTGGCTTTTGCGGCTTCTAATCTGGCGGATCTTTCAACGTTCAAGTCGCTCAATTTATCGTTTAACTCTCGTCGACCCTCCTCGCTGTTAGATTCGTCGAGTTCTTGTTTCGTGGCTGCAATCTCTCGGTCGAGTTCTGTGAGACGTGATAAATTAAGTTCTAGGTTACCTTTGAACGTCTGAACACTTTTGTCTAAACCCTGGAGTTCTCTGTAATTCAATCCTTCCGTTTGAGCGCTGGTGTCGCGTTGAAAATCATCTATAATCTCGGTTACCTCATTGGTGACGCTGGGTAGTTCTGTCATGGGGATATTCTCGGGTTGTACTTTTTCGAGCGGATTACGTTTATCATCTTTAAACCCCAATCTATTTCTAATAAATTCTATTCCTTTAATACCTAATTTGTTTGCATTTTTCTCTATACTCGATAGAGCTAAAAATCTATTTGGATTATTTACATCCGTCAACCTTACATATTCACCATTAATAAAGTAAAATAGACCTTTTTTATTATCATGAATAAAATTTTCGTATTGTGGAAGTATATCACCTCTACCAATTTTTTTTGTAAAAATCATCAACGATAAATATAGATGACTTCAGTTTTTAATTGACTTAAGCTAACACCAACATCATCAGTATTGATGCCAGTCGGTTCTGTAGTGGTGATACCGGTATCAAAGTCATTGTCCCAATCCAGATTGGTCTCTTCTACATCATCATCATTATCATTTCTTTCATAGTCAAAGGGATCCATGTCAATTCCTCCCTCAGCCATTTATTAAATAAACCTATTTAAATGATGCCGTTTTGACGATACTGCCCGGTAGTATACCCTGGGTTATCAACCAATTTTGCGTGGCCAGAGCTCCACTTATACTGCCCGTCAATTTAGCAAAATCTTCTACGCTTATTTTATTAAGATCTGGCGCTTTCATTTTGAGTAGTTTAGTTCCTACCATGGCGTATCCCATCGAAAGACCCGATATGACGGCTCCGTGATAAATCGTATTTGTTATTCCACTGGTGTCAAAGTTTCTCATCATTTTTAATATAACAATTTTTCAATTGCTGTTTATTCCATGTCTAGTGTTTTGGGGGCGCTGGGTGTAGTGGGTTGCATTACTACCGGCACTGGCTGTACCACCGGCGCAGTTGCCTTACTTTTTAGTACCAGCAACCCCACTCCTATTATCGACGCTAGAGCTCCCCACATCACCCAAGAGTTGTAGTTTATAGCGTCGTCCGATGTTACCTCCATTTTTGCTAATTTTAATTTCATCTGTCTGTTGTGCTCGGCTAAAGCTTTACCCTGCTGTATTCGTTAAGGATTTTTAGTCTTGGTCACTCTCGTTACCGTCGGTGATGACGTTGTTTTTATCGGTTGGGGCGTCTCTGTCTCTGCTGGTTGAGCCGCTGGCGTTGCTGTCACTGCTTTCTGATCTTCTATTTATTATATTAGGTTTGTTAAATTTCAAATGTTTTGTTATGATAATCGTAGCTACTAAGGGTGATATAAAAGTTCCGTACTTGTAACAAACGTCGCTCAACATACCAGCCGTACTCGAGCTTATAATAGGATCGGAACTCAAGTGACGTGGCAGTGATCTCTCACCTTTCTAAATTTGTTGATTTTCTTTTTGCATTCAAGACATTTAGACTCGATAAATCCATTTTTGTTTTCGTACTGATGTTCTTTTATTTGTTTTTCTGTTTTTGTTTTTTTGGGTTTCTGGCACTGACAGTTGCTTGAGTAATTGGGATAAATTGGTTTCTCGCAAATCCAACACGTGTTTGTTTTATCATGATGTTCTTTAGCTCGCTCGTTAAATTTCATGGGTTGGTTTTTTTTAAATATGCAACTTATGTCGCTTTGTATTTTTAACATTTTATTTACAAACTTTGATGCAGCATCTTTACCTCTAGTCTCTTGATACGCATTGGTGCTGTCGCATCTAACTACTACCAACGAGTAACCGCTTGCTTTGTGAATGTTTGTCTTTTGCGTGTTGTCCTTTTTATCGTCCGAGTTTTTGTTGTTGTTGAAACCTGTAGTTTTATATTCTAATATTGGCACATCGTTTTCGTCGACTACCCACTCGTTATTTACATATTTTCGCTTAGCGGTAGGAAATACAATCTTTGACGGATGTGTATCTATACCGCTTCAATCGGTCATGTGTCTATCTTATTTTACTTGCGTTCTATAATGACACAGGCACCTTCGACAAAAATATTTCTTACTTTTATGTTTTGTAACGTTGTAAATCAATCTCGAAAAATTATTTATCCAGCAGTAGTGATGCTTGTCGCCCTCAGAAAACAAAAACAGATCGATAGGTCGTGACTCTGCTTTATAGTTTTTAGACACGTATAACGGACATATTTCCCCCTCATAACCGTATACGTTTATCGTTAAATCATTTTGTCTTTCTATCTTTGGTATCTGGTCGATCGGTGTTGGAAAGTCTACGCCTTTAAATTTGAGTCTGTCGTCTTTGGTGTATACAACAGGTTCTTCTTTATGAATTTTATATTTAGGATCGTTTTTAATGTTATTTTTTACTTTATCCGTATACAACCCAAGAGCAGCTCTCAAACACCATCTCAAACACTCGTCTTTGTTTTTAATGTTAATCATCGCCGTTTTCTGTTTGATACATTTTGGTAGGTCAATATAAGAACTACCCCTCACGGGGTTAAACCTGTTGATGTTGATATACAACGCCATTATCTTTTTTAAAACCCAACCCGATCCTTGATTTGTATACCTTTCATCTTTTCTAAATATCTGGTCGATGTCTTCTTTTAAAACCTGTTCTATTTGACTTTGATTTAAAACGACTCTCTGATCGGTAAAATGTGTAGCTTCGATCGTTTCGATCGTACCATCCGGTTTGTTTTTTTTGTATTTTATTTTGATTGTGAGCTCTATTTTTAAACCTCTTAGCTCTCTCAATTCTGACTTGATTTTATTTACAATTTGATCTTTGTGCGTATCAAAAAATCTGACTAAACCGTCGTTAAAAAGTCTAGGAATCAGTTCCCAGTTTCTAAAGTTGTTTCTGAATCTCCTAGTCGCTCTAAACTCAGCCTCTTGAAAATCCTTGGGTTGCCTAGAGTTTTGAATCGCTGAGAGTAAATCTTTTTTCAAAAATCGACCATTAGGGGGCCTATAACCCGTCGGGTTATGTTCTAGATCGTAATCGTCTACAATCTGTTTGAGCTCATGTAGCGTCTTTTTCCTCAAGTTTTTAAATTGAGCTTCGTAGTTTTTTTATCCCATTGATGTAGACTTTACGTGTAAGAGCAACATTTTGATTGTACGGTATATTATATCGCTGGACGTAATCGCGCAGTGTCGCTTTATTCCATCTAGAGAATCCCTTAACGATTGGCCTGATCGTATTCATCATTTATATATATTAATATAATTTTTTTGAATTTTTTTAAGAGGTCAGACTTTTGGATTTATAAGCAATCAGACTCACCGGCTGGTGAGAGAGAGATCTTCAATACGAGAGATATTGGGGCTGGTTTTGGCCTGATTCCGAGACTGAGATATTGGGAGAGGGAGGGGAGGGGAGGGGGATCTATTTTGGGGGAAGGGGAGGGGGGTAATTGGGGAGGGGAGGGGGCGGGGATCATTGGGGAGGGGTAAAGTCTGGTACCCTCCAATATCATACTACTGACCATATTTGGAGAAACAAAACCTTCAATTTGGTCTTTCAAAAATATTTCCCCTTAGCATCCTAGAGGGTACATGTATTTGCATAATGACACATAGGCCTGTCTGTACCCTTTTTAAATGCGTCCATTATCATTACACTGCCAATTTTCATCTTTTGACATTGTTAGAGATCACTTTCATATCTTTATGTATCGTCGTACTAGCAATAGAATAAGCTGAATGAAATTGCAGTGTTTCAGCCATTCAGTTAACATTGTATCTACTTGTACGTCCTTCTGAAGATTTCTTGGTTTTATTTTTGCACACAGATTTTGTGACCCAGCTCTCCCCTGGCAGCTGAAACCAGCATAATGTCGTCCTCAAGAAAACCATGGATGTCAGCACAGCACGCGACACGTACCCGGTGAACTCCAAGCTAGACTGGATCTGATGAGCTACCAATAGTTCCTGTCACAGGATATCAGAGAACCCTCAGCATTCACCGCGCCTGTTTCCTGTAATCCAACCAGTCTGAGACGAACTGGATTTCTCTCTTGCCCGGATGTTGTGGGATGCCACTCAGCGACACTGACATCACTTCTAAGATGCTCTCCTGAATATGTTGGATCTGCATTGACTGTGTGAGATTCGTGAGCTACACAACCATCGTTGAGCAGGACTTGCAACAGAACAATTGGACTTCCTTCAAAACAATTCCCCGGAGATCTTCACTTTCAAGCTCAGTGTGCCACAAGATGTTTTAACTTATCGCTAGTCGTCAAAAACTGCCTAGAGAGTTGTGTTTTCTCAATTGGAACAATTAAGCGACTCGAAGGATAATCTGTACTTGAGCTATGCGCTTGCACGAGTCTCACCAAACATTTGGAGACCTGCAATAACACATGCACTAGACGGCATGAGGTTACCGTCGGACCCGTCTCGAGATCGTATCTCGGCTCTGAACTGACTGCTAGAGGAGTTCATGATAAGCTGGCCTCTGCCAGCCGCAAAAACACTGGATGATTCATATTGAGTGTTGCTGTCTGCCAGAGAGTTATGACTGAGGAACTCTTTTGAAATAAAACTCTCTTGAAATGGAACTCTTTCGAAATGGAACTCTTTTGAAATTTACCCCTGTTGAAATGGAACACTCTTGAAACTGAACTCTTTGAAACAGAACTTTGTTGAAACGGATCTCGTGGGAAACAGAACTCTTTTGAACCAGAACTCTTTTGAGATGGAACTCTTTTTAAATTGAACTCTTTGAAACGGAACTCTGTTAAAACGGAACTCTTTTGAAACAGATCTTGTTGGAAACAGAACTCTTTGGAACCTGAACTATTTTAAGATGGAACTCTGTTGAAACAGAACCCTTTTGAACCGGAATTCTTTTGAACCGGAACTCTTATGAACCGGAACTCTTTTGAGATGGACCTCTTTTGAAATTGAACTCTTTGAAATGGAACCTTCTTGAAATGGAACTCTTTGAAAGGATAATGTATACTAAAGAAGTAGAGGTCTCTCTTTCCTTGTCACTAAAGGTCATCAGAGGTCACCTCTTTGAACCCATATGTGTAGAAAAGGTTGCCTTGGCCGACCACAATTTGACAGACATCTAGAATCTTGAAAGGCAGTTGCCATAATCTTCACTCACAGTGTTTGATGATGGAAAAGTGATGTAGTCATCACCTAGTGATAAAGTTTGGGACGAGAACTGCAAAGTTTTCTATATCAAGAAAATTGTCCAGAAACCTTCAAAACATGCTATCTTACTATGTTGACCCACAATTGATGGCAGTAGTAGTTGAGATCAAACCAAACCATAAATCGTGAATATGGAAGAGAGGCCTCTACACACCACACCACAGTGACCACACGTACATGTAACCAGCTTCTCTCTGCAAACTCAAAGCATATTTCATAGAATTGATTCGTCTTTGATTTTTATTCAGTGCATCCACTAATTTTCTTGTATCAAAGTATCACAAAAAAACTTTCAACAAGCAGTGAAAATGAGGAAAGATGTAGCGCTGCATTTTATAGTTCTTATTTCCCGCTCTGCCAGTTGCAAAAAACCCTGAAATTTAGCCAAATTCACTAAATATTCACTAAAGCTGAGGGCTGCGCAAGTATTGAAGAAAAAAATTCTCTCAGAAAAATCTTGATGATGCAACTTCCTTTGGCATATATATAGAGAGAGCTGGTTACATCAAATTAATTGATAATTGAATCTGAAATATTTTTTTATGGCATTGCCTGATTGGTAATAGTTGGGTGCAAGATTGGTTTTCCTAGAACAAAATTCTTTAAACTTTGTGTCGACACACAACGCTAATGCACTTATTTGAACGTCATTGCCAATTTTAATCATTGCTTGGTTCAGTTTAAATTCAATATAATTGGAGATGTCCAAAAATCCAAATTTCTTACTCAAGCACTCATGCAGGAAAACCCAGATATTCGTGTAAATGCGCAATTTTGCAAACAGCTTTCATAATTAGCCATTCAACTTTTTGTTTATACTTTCAAAATTTCTTTCAACTCTTCAGAAATGGCTTTTCAAAAATTTTAGATGCACTTTCCAGTTCATCATAACTTAGCTGCGTACTGTCAACAGCCATACCAATCTTGTACCCAGCTTTTGTTTTATCAAGTATAGTCAGCACTGGTCCACTGTTAAACAGACAAAATTTGTCTGTGAATGAAAAAAGTGATTGCATGTTGGTTTTAGTTCCACTTGTTCGAAAAAAATAGCCAAACCCAAAATATTCCATTTCAAGTGAAAACACTGCTAAAAATGCCTTCAAAATTTGTTCTTATTCGACAGTTTACCAGGTGTTTTTGTGGACACACCTTTGTTTAATTACCTCCAGAAATGTAGTCTTTCTTGTCCATTGGTCAAGCGATGTTTTTCTAAAATCCCATTTGAAAAAGAAAAGTAGACAGTATTAAACTGTTGATTACTTACAAACACCAATTACCAATATTTTTTAGCGCAAAAAGGAACAAAAGAATTGATGGTCCGGTGCTGGCTGTACGTGTTCATTGGGAAAAAATGATGATTAATTTGTTGAGTAACCCGTATATATACTTGACATTTAACCAACAGGCAATGTTCTGATATACCCGAGCCCAACGCATGCAAGTCCCCCCGGGGCGTGCACGTGTGGTGTTCCCCGCCCGCAGATGCCGGCTTGTCTGGTGGGTCGTCCCTATCTGCATTGACGATTGGTCTCTTGTTCAAGGTGTGTGCTAGCTTCCTGATCTTGTGGTCTGGATAATCGTGGATGACTTGGTCGACTTCAACATGGTAAGGATCCTTTTGAACTTTGACAATTAGTTTGCCTTTCTGCAAAGGAGATGTCTTTTTGGCCGTTTATTACCGAGTGTTGCTGTGGAAATTATGTACCATCTATCAATCTGGAGATTGCAAATCTAGAGATCAATCGAGCATCTACTTTTGATGTCCTGCTTGCATTTCAATAGTTCCATGGCATCATGTTGATCCAAATGATCTGCTAACAAATGGATACTGTTGTTGGCATATCTGATGTTCTTCAATGTGGTAGGATTTTCGGACAGGTGTTTCAGCCGCTATTTATGTGAATAACTTCCATGGTATAACTCTGAAATCTCATTGCCTTTTATTGTGTCATCATGTTCAATCAGTTCCCTCATAGAGTGTGTTCAAATCTTAGACATGCACGGATAAACATTATAAGGAAATAATTTCCAAGGGAAAACAATTAAACCGAACTGAATCAAACGTCAAATCTGCTTCTAAATTCAGCATCTGATGTATCACTTAAAAAACTTAAGTTTGCAAATAATATTTGTGTTTTTGGCAGCACATTCTTAACATAAACCTGAAAGTATTGACCAAATTTTTGGCTAAATTTCAAAAGTCACATTTTTAACTTGATAAACCAAAATTTACTGACATAACTATTTTATTAAATTTCAAAAAGGCAGCTTCCCTGCCTCAGATAATCTCTGTATAAAGTCAGTCAAAATTCTAAATTCTGGTTTACATCATAAAAAAAGTAAGTCCCGATTTCAAAGCAACTCTATTAAATATTGTTAAAAATCCAAATGTAAACAATAAGGAAAAAGAACTCAATGAATGGGCCAGTGCGATCATTTTTATAATCGGAAAAGCTGTTGAAAAAAAATAACATGGAAATAGAAAGTTTTAGGAAAGAAGAAAAAGGAGAGAAGGCCAAACTCTTCAAATTGTAGGGGAGAAGTCCTGGTGTGCAGAGGGGGAGAACCATGCTGCTTCCTGGCCAGATGGAAGATGTGGTGGACAAAAAGGCCCCCTGCATCCTAACAAATAGAAGCTGTGGTGTCAGACACAGGGAGCCAGTCCTGCCAGATGGATCCATGGTAAGTTTAATTGAAGTTTGTTGAATGAATTCATGCACTGTGTACATCCTCATTGCTTGCTAAACCCAACGGTAAAATGTGTATCTCATGGCTAGGAGTAAACGCTATCTGTCTGCATTACAGGAAAACAGTATTGTGCATTATAGTCTTCAGTCTGTGGCAATACCAATTAGCTCAAAGGACCAAAAAGAAAAACAAATATCAGCGATTTGGCAATTTTTATCAAAATCGAAATGAAAGGCATTGACACGACAGTTGTACTAGGAACTGGTCAAACGATCCCCATTCAATTTTGATATTGCTGAAGAGATGTCAATAATCTTCTTATGAGTGTCCATTGAGTCCTACAATCATACAGAGATGCAACCAGTGTATTGGTGTGCAAATATCTCACTCAATCTCGGCAATCTTTCGGGACTCGACACTCACTGCAAGCACTTAAAGTGCTGCTGCCAAAGTCATGGTCAAATGTTGTGACCTCTGCATTCCAATCCTATGATTGGATGAAACCTTGGGCTTCAGCAATCACTGCAGCCTCCCATAGATTCATCACCCACCTGATAGGTGGTTGCATGGGGGAATCCCCTACCAGGGCTGTCTAAAATGACCTTAAGCAAGATGATGTGGTGTGTTTGTTAGTCTGTGCACAGTGAAGCCCCATCAAACTGTGCCCCTTAGCAATTTGAAACTAAAGCCTTGAAAATCTAGGCATGAAGCAAAAGCAATACCATCTCCTAATTGAAACACAAAGTTAGTCATTGATCAAGTTTCTTTCATGAAATAAACTAAGTTTTTTATGCGTGTGGCTCTTCACCTCAGTTTCTGGAACCGAGAATATCTGCCTCAGTAATGTGTATTACTGAGAGTGATTCGTTTTCATTTGAAATTTGAACATGATGTTCAAAAAGCTACAACTGTCATTGCCATGTATCAACCAATAGATAATCCTGCTTCACTTCTGTGGGTGAATCATACTTTTTAAAACTTAAAAAGTAAATATGAATGTCTTAAAAGAGTCCTGAAGGATCTTCACCATAACATTTAGTAATCAAAATCATCGAAATTTTCAATCCGATACTTGTAAAGATGGGAACTCACAATGCAATTGAAAGTAAAAAATTCCTTTGGTCTTATGACCAGTTCTTACATACTCAAGAAACTGAGCATCAGTGTTCATGTACGTATAATACGTGTATGGCTTCAGAGAGCTGTTGCAAAGAAAACAAATCGTCAAAACAATCAGATTTATTGAACATTTGAAATATCCATCCGTTCTGAGTTGGACCACTTTGGTTTCATTTCTAAAGTAACCAATTCTTCAAAAATTTGTAAATGGTTGCTGAAGCCAATCTGCCTTAATTTATTTTGTAACACCAGCAAAGCTATTAAAAAAAATTCACCAAAAATACAAAATGTGCAAAGTTAATTGGCACTCAAAACAATTCTTGTGATAAATTGTGAATTTGAGCGACTTCAAAAACAAGCATTCCAAAAGGATCTAAGAAGTTAATGTGGCCTGACGTACGAACCTAACAAGTTCTTCTTCAGAGGCAAAGAGGTTGTGAGTTTTCACAAGTTAACAAATTGCAAGAGGATGCCCTGAAATGCCAGCATCCTATTACTAAGATATTTTAGTTGCTAAACTCAATCGAATCTGCAATTGTAAAAGAAAAAAGTTGAGACGATAATAGGACTGTTGTTTGTTAGTTGATAAATAAGGTGAAGATCTTTCAGGACACATGTTGGTCTTGCCGCAGACTGAAGACTAGCTATGCTCCATGCCTTAACCCTTTAGTGACCACACTTTTCTCAGTGTACAATGCTGTAAACTTGCAAAGTGCAGTTCCTTATCGAGGCACATATTGTGAATTGCGATGTGTATCCAATTCTAAATTAAGTAGCTGAATAATAGATTAAAATGAAATTAAAATGCTGGTCCTCCATTGCCTCTACAGGCAATTCAGTTGTGGTCGCCTCTAGCGGCTTTGGTCACTAAAGGGTTAAACAGAAAATATGTCAAAGGTTTACAAAGTCATTGTTCGGGTCAATTTTCGATTAAGTTTAGTTACGAAAAGGCTTGTAAGAACATATACATCTAGGGCAGATCTTTAAATAGAAAATGTCCAATCTACATCAGAATTGGTTAAAATACTCTTAGTATTACTATTTTTCAAAAGTTAAATGCTGATTAGTAGGATATATAGACAAGTCTCCTAAAAGGTGACATTTAGCAAACCTCTAAAATTGGTATTCCAGTTAGCAAACCCTTCATGTAGGTCTAAATTTGTATTTTTTTTAAATAGGCTAGATTGTAGCATGTGAAATCTGTGTACATTTTTTTCCCCATTTAATGATTCATCAGATGCCATGGTTAAAATCCCTGAACCCTGCCTCTGAGAAATTATTGAGTAATTTAACCCAGTAAACAGTGATTAAAACTCGATGAGATAATTATATAAAATTTGAACGTAGTGTCAAAATCTGTCAATTTTTTTTTAGAAAAACCAAGCTATACAAGTGACCGAGTCATCCAAGTTAAAAATGCTAAACACTACATCGAATTCTTTGCCAGAACCATTGATAGAAATACCACTTTGCGGCAGTTTAAGTTTTATCACTCACAGGATTCAAATCCTGCAGTGACTTAAAGAGTGAGTAAACTCCTACATGATCAAAGTCAGTCCCGACATAATGAAATACGAGTTTGAGAACTTGAGTAAACTTTTCTCAGCTGAACATTTGCATCAAGGTATAAACCAGTGGAATATTCAATAAGAATGTAGTTAGCTTAGTTCGATAAAGACACCTGGCATGGCGTTGTGAACGAGATCTCGGTTGCGACCTGTAGATGATGATGATAGTTAGAAAAAAGAGCTGATTGGTGATTTTTGGCCTTAATAGGATTGGTTTCATGTTCTTAAAAAGACCCTAAAAACACACATTAATGTGATTCCAAATGATTTGAAATAAATTAAGCTAAGAGCTAAATTTGATAGGCACATACATGTTTGCATGTAGGCGATATTACAGTGTTCCTTGTTCATGCCTAACTTAGCAAGGGTAGACTCAGAGAGATCTGAAATAACTGGGACTTAGCGATTTTGTTGACGTCACTTGGTTTGAATCTCAGGTCATGTACAGTTTACACTAGGCTGTACGCAACTGCAGCAGAGAAACATTATATATAAAGTTAAGACAGAACACAGTAACCTGTACAGTTAGTTGTTACATAAATGTAGGTTTTCCAATTTCTTTCTAAAGATGTCAAAGGTCCAAAACGTTTAAGATCAGTCTTGTCTTAAGTGTCGTAATGGGCAGGCCCCAGGATAAATCATCAACAAGTGGCAGTTTCAATGATTGAATAATATTATATTACTTGAAAGAGCTTACAAAAATTGTGCTCCTCTATTTGGCGAATTTTATAGCACGCTTGCAATTCACAAAACAAATATGATTTGCCGAAGAAAAATGGGGGGGGGGGGTGTATTTTGTGTCATGTGAGAACCCCTTATTTCAGAACATACTGACACGAACTAAATGTTTGATGTGTAAACACATAAGAAAATAAAGGAACAAATAGCCGTTCAAAACTTTTGCCAAAATACGGTAAGTGTCCATTCATGACACTGTACACGTGGAATATTTTCATTTCATGGCACGCATCAAATTTTGATGATGTTTTAGGTGTTGTACAAAAAGCACTTATGCATTGAGGACTTTGAATGCTTAAAACATCCAAGAGATGTGCAGATAACCGTGCATAGACAAATCACCACCTGATATTCATTTTGATTACGTATTTTGGCAGTGCACCATGCACAGTCTCCACAGATCTTGCAGAAACACTAAAAAAAAATCCAGAAGATGTTAGTTGATCCAGCTTAAATTCTTTAGAAAAGTGCAGACTTAAAGACATAGTTTTCAATCCACTCCTTTTTGGTCATTCTTAAAACCAAGAAAACATTTGTCCACTTTTGCATTGTGCGTACGTAAACGTCACTGAAATTACAAGGTTTTCCCCTTCATAAAGTGTCTTATTTCAGGATCAAACTTAGAAACTGCCATACATTTTCCTGGGGCCTGCCTAGGTTTGCATGTGAGCATAAATGTGCAATATCTGTTGTAATGTAGACATGTAGCAGTACAGGGCGAGTCAAAAAGAAAGTGACCAAATTAGAAAAATTGCGTTTAGAATATGTCGCTTGCTCCATTTAAGAAAAATAACAGCGGTAAAGTACATAACAGCGACTAGTAACTGTGAACATTTCACACAATTTGCAGAGTCTATTCCCAATTGTGTCTTTTTAATAAAAGATCACAAACATCAGCTGTCCACCACTGATCATTTACTATTCTACGAATTGATGAATATATGCACTAAATACAATGAAACATGGAAGTTTTCCCACCTCCACGAATGAAACGAAAACTTGCAAAAAGTAAGACAAAACCTTGCGTCACTATATCATGAAAATAAAAGAGTTGACTTGTTCCTCAGATTTAAAACACAAAATCTGACAGAAAAAAGTAATGTTTCAGTCTTGACTCAAATGGTCAAAATCTCATTTGTATTTGAATGCAGGTGTGTAATCTATTATAATCACTCAGCTCAATAGCTTCCAATTGCATTCCATGGACAGCTATCAAAATAGGTTCTTCTGGTAGCCTGGATCAAGTTCAGTAATTAAGACGTATTTCATTGATGTATCAACTTTGATTACTTTTTTAAGAAAAAATCGTTAATCCAGGTCACTTTCTTTTTGACTCGCCCTGTATGTTTACTCCGAATGCCATGATACACATATGGGTTTAGCAAGCAAAACAGATGAGGATGTATGTTGTCATTGTACAGTGCATGAATTAATGAAAACTTCAATTAAACTTGACCATGGATGGCCATGGCGGGACAAGGCTGTCCCTGTGTCATGATGATGCCACAGCTTCTGAGGATGCTGAGGGGCAGATTGCCACCACATCAACAGTGGCGTAGCTAGAATGAAGGAGGGGCCACAAGAAAACAGGAGGGGACAAATTGAAGCCCATGCAATTGTCCATGTGGGGCCAACATGAAATTTGAAATTTTCGTTTGAATGTACATGGCTAGTTGCCATGTTTGTGGCTTCCCGTCTGAGTTGGCCAAAATATGGGCCGAGCATGGGATTTTGATAGATCCCATTTTGTCCAATTGGACAGACAGCCCCCTCCAAATGTTAGAAGGCCCCTCCCATCCCCATGAGCTACGCCACTGCACATTAGCCAGGAAATAGCATGGTTCTTCAGAAGGGCACATTGGGTTGAAAATGGGGAGTAAAAACAAAATACTCCCCCTCAAAATCCCCCCAAAAAACTCCTTCGACAAAAGTACGAGGAGTCAGTAACTTTATAGGCTAGCAATCACTTAGTGTGCAAATTGCGTATTGAAAAAAGAGTTTGGCCAGATGTCTGTAGAAAAGAAAAAAACGATCACTCAGTATTGAAACACTGTGTGAAATCTAGAGAAAGCCAAAAGAAAAACTGCAAATGTGTTTCAGTCCAACCAATTTCTCTCTCGTAAAACTCCCAATTAAAATGTTTGGGTTGTTTTAGATTGTAACATGTACATCATGTACATTAACATGTACATCATGTACATTGAGTGCACAAATTAAATGATGTACATGTACATTGAGTGCACAATTCAACAGCTTTGTTGAAGATATTTATGATGGCACAAAGAAAAAATTGTGATCACTCTTCTGCACTGAAAGAAACCGTTTGTGTATTTGCCCATATATATCAGGACTGTTTGAGACATGTAACAAATTGACACTTTTACTGTACAAAATGTATGTCAACTTTGTCAGAAAAAGGGAGAACAAAATTAAGCGCAAAATTTACTAAGAGGATACCAAAAACTCTATCTTTCAGAGTACAAGGTAGATAAAGAAAAAAGTTGCTTTGAAATTGGACTTGTCCGACCAAAATGTTGGTTGAAGTTTTGGCAGAAAATCTCACTTCTTAAAATCTGTAAATCCTACCAAGACAACTTTGGTAAATTCAACTTGCAAATTGAAACATTTAATCAAATTAAAGTCTAAATAATTACCTAAATTCACTTGGCACAACTATATCTTGTCTGCAAAATCTGACGTTCTTAAAACTAGTATCAGTGCTGCCAGAAAACATCAAAATTGACACTTTTATTCAGTCGAATACATGTGTATCTGATGGAAAATGTGATGTACATGCGACAGCATGTATGTACATGCTATACGTACATGTACATAGTACATGTACATGCTATGTACATGTACATGCTATACGTACATGTACATGTACAGCATGTACATGTACTTACTACCCAAGTACAAAGAAGCTTTCCAAAATTGGCAAGGCTTTAGAGCCTGAAGATCAAATTTGACGATAATACTGTTACCTTCTCTTAAAAAGGTTACGTCTGCCTCCTGTAAAACAGTTGCTGAATTGGTTTTTTGGTCTTTGCCAATTCAAGTTAAACGTGCATGTCCGTCAAAACCAAATATATACTTACAATTACTTGTGAAAATCTTACGAATAATACGTATTTTGAAATGACACACTCATGAGATGAACTGATTACTGTACATGTTGATGTGATTAAACGGCAGGGAGATTTCAGAGTTATTTTGTGGAAGTTATTAACGTAAATGGTAGCTGAGATAAATGTCCTAAAATCTTATTGCGTTGGAAATATCGGAGAAAGCTGACAAATTGTAGCCTGTTTGTATTGCATTTCATTTAAATGGATCAGAAACATGATGCAACAGTGAACGACGGAAATGTTGAGTGAGACAATCATGGGTAGATGTGAGAGAGATCTCTACTTGGGCAATTTTTGGAGTGATAGTTGGTATATAATTTCCATGGCAATACTTAGTAATTGAAACTGTTAATAAGGCATCGACTTTGTCAGAAAAGTAAACGGATTGTTGAAGTTCATAAGGATCCTTATCATGTTGGAGTTAACCAAATCATTTGCGATTATTCGGACTTCAAGTTTGGGGAGTTAGTGCGCACTAAGATCAACTGATCATGAGTTGATGTAGATAGAGGGCGACTCGCTGGGCTTGTCGGTGTCTGTGGGCGGGGAACACCATGCGTGCACGCCTCGGGGGGACTTGTATGCGTTGGGCTTTTTTTTTGGCCAGGCCAAGTTCAAGTTCAAGGCCAAGTTCAAGGCGAAGTTCAAAGCCAAGTTCAAAGTTGAAAGGTCAGGTCAAAGGTCAAATAAAAAAAAAATTGTGACCATACACCAGATGTAAAAATAAATTCAAGTTGAAACAATTACTTTGGTACTTTTTTCATGGTTTATTTCATTAACAGCGCCCTCATTATTTTTACAACTAAAGTCAAATTAAGAAGGGCGCCCTCTTATGTTTATCTTGTATCTTTTTGCCCAAGTCAAAATTTCAAACCAAGGGCGCCCTCTTATGTTTGTTTAAATACTTGTATCGTGTTTGTTTAAATATTTTTCACCCAAGGCGCATTATTTTAGACGTTATTTTAAATTCAAACATGACACAAGAGGGCGCTCTTTTTCATTCTCAATTTGATTTGGTTTAAAAACTAATGAGGGCTCCCTTCCTTGCTGAAACTATGCACAAAAAAGCCAACACAAGAGGGCACCCTTCATTTAAATTGAACTTGGGAAAACTTTAAACATACAAATGCGTTTGTTGATTTTTTTTCAAAAGTCAAAGGGCGCCCTCATGTATTTTTAAGCTCTTTAATCTAATGTTCAAACTGGGAAGGGAGCCCTCTAGTGTCGTACTTGACTTCAAATACATACCTGCTGTCTATTTTCATCAGAATAATTTGCAGCACATTTTCTAAAGCTTTTTGGCGC